GAAAGAAAGAAAGAAAGAAAGAAAGAAAGAAAGAAAGAAAGAAAGAAAGAAAGAAAGAAAGAAAAAGAGAGAGAGAGAGAAAGAAAGAGAGGGAGGGAGAGGGAGAGGGAGGGAGGGAGGGAGGGAGGGAGGGAGGGAAGGAAAAGAGAGAGAAAGAAAGAAGAAAAGAAAGGAGGAATGAAAGAAAGGGAGCAAGCAAGAAGAAAGAAAAAGAAAGAGGAAGGAAGGAGGAGGGGGAGAGAGGAAGGGAGAAAGAGAGACAGAGGGGTGAGGGAGAGATAGAGAGAGGGAAGGAGGAAGGAAGGAAGAAAAGAAGGAAGGAAAAGGGAAGAGAAGGAAGGAAAAGAAAAGCAAGGAAGGGAGGGAGGGAAAAGGAATGGGCTGATCAAGCAGAAGGAGGAGATGAGAAGAGAGGGGGCCTGTCCTGCTTCTCTCACCAGTCAATTTCCTGCCACTGGGCAAACTCAGACAGAAACCAGCTAACAAGGGAACCTGAGAACTGCAGCCAGCCAGAGGCAGTTTGAGTTCACAGGCCCTGATCCTCAAGAAAAGGAGTCCCTTCTCCGCTTGTCAAAGGTGGGCTGCCTTTTCTTGCTCCATGGAGTCCTGTCTTTGGGATTCAGGTGAAGTCTTGGTGGCCACTGCCTTGATCACCAGGTGCCGATCCCAAATCTACTTGTGAGGAATTGTGAATGGTTATTTTTTCTCTAATCCTGATGTGTGCACTCAGTCTCCTACTGTGCTTTCCCGAGCTGCGTCCCACTTTTGCTCCCCTCAGTCGTATTCTTGCCAGCTCTGCTCTTACTGTACACTAGTTTCCTACGGTCCCTGACAAACACTCTGGCTCTCCGTTCCTTCTAGGCACAGGCCAGCACTATATTCCCTACCTCCTTTGAAGTCAGGTGTCACCATGTGACTTGCTTTGGCCAATGAAATGTAAGCAAAAGCAATACATGCTGCTTCTAGTTGAAATTTTAAGAGCAGGCATGGAATTCACCATTGTTCCATTTTCTGCCTGCTACAGTTTGAACATGTCCCCCAAACTTCACATGTTAGAAACCTAATCCTCAAATTCATATGCTGACTGGGGGTGGGGCCTTTGGGAGGTAATCAGGATTAGATGGGGTCATCAGGATGGAGCTCCCATGATGGAACTGGTGGATTTATAAGAAAAGCCAGCATGGTGGCTCATGCCTGTAATCCCAGCACTTTGGGAGGCCAAGGCATCCAGATCACTCTGAGCCCAAGAGTTTGAGACTAGCCTGGACAACATGGTGAAACCCCATCTCTACTAAAAAAGCAAAAAAAAAAAAAAAAAAGGTAGCTGGGCATGGTGGTACAAACCTCTAGTCTCAGCTTCTTGGGAGGCTGAGGTGGGAAGATGGCTTGAACCTGAGAGACAGAGGTTGCAGTGAGCCAGGATGGCACCAATGTACCCTATACTGGGTGACAGAGCCAGATCTTGTCCCAAAAAGGAAGAAGAAGAGGAAGAAGGAGAAGGAGGAGAAGAGAAAGAGAGACCTGAGTTGACACACATGCCCTTGACCATGTGATGCCCTGTGCCATGTCATGAGGCAAGAAGAAGGCCTTCGTTAGATGTCAGCACCTTGATACCGGACTTCCTAACCTCTAGAACCATGAGCTAAACAAACTTCATGTATTTATACATTACCCAGTCTTTGATATTCTGTTATAGTAACAGAAAATGGACTAAGGCACTGCCTTAGGGACCACCAAAGCATTTGTCAAAAGGGAACATAGGTCTCTATATTAGTTTCCTATTGCTGCTGTAAGAAATTATCACAGCTTAGTGGCTTAAAACAATAAAAAAATTATCATTTTATAGTTTTGGAGGTGAGAAGTCCAAAGTCAGTCTCCCCAAGCTGAGGTCAAGCTGTTGACAGTGCTACTTCCTTGTAGAAGTTTCAGGGGACAATCCACTTCTTTGTCTTTTTCAGTTTTAGAGGCTGCCTGCATTCCTTGGCTTGTGGCCCCTTCCTCACACCACTCCAACCTCTTGCTTCCGGGGCCACGTCTTCTACTACTGCCTTTGACTTTCTTCCCTCCTTCTTATAAGGACCCTTGTGATTATACTGGGTCCACCTGGAAAAACCAGATAGTCTCCCTATTTCAATATCCTTAATGTAATCACATCAGCAAGGATCCTTTTACCATGTAAGGAAACATATTCAGTAGTTCCCAGGATTAGGAGGTGGATATCTTTGGGGGCTATTGTCCTAACAGTACTTGAGAGATTTCAGCGAGCAGAGCTCTACCTGCTAAGTTGCATTAGACATGCAGTGTGAGAAAAAAAATTGGGGGTACGTTGACTCACTGAGATTTAGGAGGTTGTCTATTATGACAGCAGAATTTAGCACACATTTATACCTCATGTCATTTTTGCCTCCTGTCTATGTTTTGCAATAACTCTACACAGTAAATATAACTTTTTAAAATAAAGTAGACGTTTTAAATAATGTACTAGGAATAATCAATCTATCAGCAAACCAAAGGGTGTTTTTGTTCCTGAACAAAAGTAACTTTAGATCTGTAGACTTAAAAATAAATACTGCCCACATTTAATATCCTAACAAAATTCTTTCCTGACTCTGAAAAATCTTCAGGTTCCCTTTGTTTCAAAAAACTAAGAGGTTAGCAATGTTGATTTACTTAGATTCTGAAGCACATAAGTAACAAAGAAAACACACTTGATTGAAAGATTATTAAAGTTAGTTCCGTTTTTTCTAGAAGTTGAGGGGTGAGGATGGAGGAGCTTTCCCTGGTAACTAAAATACAAATATACTTACCTGACTCTCTAAAGCACAACCCTTTCCCTAGTTCATGTATTCGTGTATTATAGGTCATAAAAAGTAGGGCGATAAATGTTTTACAGTCTTGAATTACAGAGTCCAAGCTGTGCCACCACCCACATGTCTTCTTCATAAGTTGGATAGACTTCTGGACATGTCAGTCTCAGTACAAATCAGTGGTCACCAGCTTTTTGATTGTTCCCTCTAATCAGCAAAAAATATTCAGCCCATACTTCCACTATGTATACTTACCAATGTATTATAAGCATTATAATAGGTGCATCAAAAAGACACTAAAAGATGATATAAAGATGAGATAAATAATATTATTTATTTATTTTGGAGGGCAGGAAGTAGGCTTTATTGGTGGGTTGATTAAGGAGGGGCAGCCCAGTGGGAGCCCCCATAAGCACAGGGACGGCCGCTTGTCCAGGGGACCATGAATGGGGGGGTTTGACCCGATAGCTGTCTAGGATGAGCTGCTTCACAGTTACCATGTCTTCAGATTCATCCACATTAATCTTGGTAAAGTCTTGCTTCTTTGAGATATGGATCTTCTGGCAGCTCAGGAACCTCAACTTGGTCCTGTGTGGGGCCTTACTCTCATGCTCCTTGTTCTGGAGCTTGGTGCAGATGAACATAATGACTTGGCCAATGCAGACCTTGCCTACCATACTCTGGGGCTTTCAGAGGCATGCTGCGTACCTGTCTGGAGCCTAGACTGGGGACAGCATCAGGTCAGAGACATGAACATCCATGGGAAAGGGCTGTCTCCAAGGTTCCTCAGGGCAACACATACAGCATACAAGCAACAGGGCCACACACTTCCGAGAAGGCTGCCATTCGCAGCCATCGCACACTGGGCCCTTGCAAGGAAAGGAACACGACTGGCTTAATTGGCTGTAGGAAACAATATTTCTAAATGTCTTTCTGATGGTGACAGCATCATGCTACAATCTTTACCATTTCAAGTCAAAATATGCCCTTAAGTTGTGCTTCCTCATTCATGATAGTGGATGTAAATACAACCTGCAAGCCATCTCCTTGATAATTTTGACTGTTTTGTCAGACTTTTCATCAAATCTCATTTGACCCTTATTATTTTTACCTTTCAATGTGGATAACAAAGAGCTTTTTCTAGCGGTAGAAGTCTCTGCTCTGTCTTTTTTGTTGTCATTTATTTGCTTGTACTCATGTTATTGTTTTCACCTCAATCCATGGTTTCTTTTCAGGAAATCTTTTTAAGTGATTTGTCTGTTTTTATGAGAGTTGATTTAATTAAAATTAGGGACTATTATTGAAAAATAGTTATGATAATATAGCTGACCATACATAAACTGTAACACATCACACTGTGCTGAAAGCAAAAGAGTGAGGAAACCACCTTCACCCCATCTTTTCTGGAACTCCCATTCTTCCCTCCGGTGCCTCCATGTATGGCACAGCCACCACACAAAACCAGGTGGCATCTGGATAAAGGGAGGGTGTCAGTGTCGATCCATATATTTACTTTCATAATGCTTCTGGGAAGCATGTGCCATATACTGTAGAACTCTAATAAAAGTAACTAAATCCAAGTGGAGTGGCTCACGCCTGTAATCCCATTCATTTAGGAGGCCGAGGCAGGTGGATCGCTTAAGTACAGAAGTTTAAGCCCAGCCTGGACAACATGGTTTTCATGTTGATGGGGTTTCGTGTAGAAACTCCATCTCTACAAAAAAAATACAAACATTAGCTGGGCATGGTGGCACATGCCTGTAGTCCCAGCTTCTCAGGAGGCTGAAGCGGGAGGGTCACTTCAGTCACTTCAGTCTGGGAGATCAAGGCTGCAGTGAGCTGTGATTGTGCCACTACACTCCAGCCTGGGAAACAGAACAAGACCCTGTTTCAAAAAATAAAATAAGAAAAAAGAAAAAAATAAGTATCTGAAATGAAAGTTTCTAAAAAGGCTTTACAAGGGCAATCAATTTAGGTATGTGGCAAAAGACCTGTAATCTGTTCTAACAGTGTTGCTATTACAAAACTAATTACAAAAAGCTGAAGCCAGAAAGCCTAGATGTCTTTCCCCTCATCCCACAGAGGATTTTTGGCAATTAGGACCAGAAACTAGACAGTCTGAGTCTCAGGCCGACACACTTTCCATTACACCATGAGGTTATGAATGAGTAAACTTAGAAATTTCATGACCGAATTAAGTCCTGCTGGCCTCCCTTCAGCATGCTATGCTATGTGATGAGGGGGAAAGATGCAGGCCAAGAACAGGGAGAAGCCAGGAGGTAACAGGTCCAGCCCTGGAGATGCGGGAGGATTTTTAGTTTCCTGCAAGATAATTATAAAGAAAAGATATTTATTTATAAGAAAACATTGAAAGAATACAAGAAATTACTAGAAATGGTTATCTTTAGGTGTGGGGGAAGGGTGGTGGACAAAAATAGGGATGGGGACCAGACTTCCCAATGCATACTTTGTATATAGCTCTGATTTTTTTTTTTTTTTCCCAGACAGGGTCTCGCTCTGTCACCTAGGCTGGAGTGCAGTGGTACAATCTCTGCTCACTACAAGCTCGGCTTCCTGGGTTCAAGCAACCTCAACTTTATGAGTAGCTGGGAAGCTAGGATTACAGGTGCACTCTACCACATCTGGCTAATTTTTGTATTTTTAGTAGAGACAGGGTTTCACCATGTTGCCCAGGCTGGTCTTGAACTCCTGAGCTCAAGTGATCCACCTGCCTCAGCCCCCCAAAGTACTGGGATTGCAGGTGTGAGCCCCTGCGCCTGGCCTAGCTCTGATTTTTGAGCCAGACTAGTGTATTACCTATAGAAAGATATTTATAAGGTCGAATGGAGATCCAAGATGGCTGATCACTAGCAGCTCGGGATTGTAGCTCCCACTGAAAACGCGGAGAACGAGAGGACACCACACTTTCAGATCAATTTTTGTCACTCAGGCACCAGGAGATTCCCAGCGGAGGAGCCCCACAGGTCGCCAGTGGCCGGCGAGGCAGTTTTGCCGCTGCCTTGGTGTGGCAGTTCTTGGTGCAGAGTCAGAAAAGCACCATCAATCTTAATGCCGCTGTTTTGGCCGGCGCAGTGGGTTGCTCAGATTTTAGCACCAGGAATCAACAAGTTGGACGTCCATTCAGAAACCCAACTAAAAGACAGTAATTATAAAGACCACAGATGGATAAATCTATAACGAAGGGAAGAAACCAGCCTCAAAAGGCTGAGAATACCCAAAATCAGAGTGCCTCTCCCTCTACAGGGGATCACAGTTCCTCATCAGCAATGGAACAAGGCCTGATGGAGAAAGACTGTGTTCCATTAACAGAAGCAGGCTTTAAAAAGTGGATGATAAGAAACTTCTGGGAATTAAAAGAACTTGTTCTAACCCAAAGAAACTAAGAACTTTGAAAAAAGGTTTGACGAAATGTTAACAATAATACACAATTTAGAGGGGAATATAAGTGAATTAATGGAGCTGAAAAACACAACACGAGAAGTTTGCAAAGTATGCACAAGTTTTAAAAGCCAAATTGATCAAGCAGAAGAAAAGATATCAGAGGTCGAAGATCAACTTAATGAAATAAAACGAGAGGACAAGATTAGAGAAAAAAGGATAAAAAGGAATGAGCAAAATCTCCAAGAAATATGGGACTATGTGAAAAGACCTAATCTATGTTTGATAGGTGCACCTGAATGTGGCGAAGAGAATCAATCCAAGCTGGAAAACATGCTTCAGGATATTATTCAGAAAAACTTTCCCAACCTAGCAAGGCAGGACAATATTCAACTCCACGTAATACAGAGAACACCACAAAGATATTCCTCAAGAAGACCAACCTCAAGGCACATAATCGCCAGATTCATCAGGGTTGAAATGAAAGAGAAAATATTGAGGGCAGCCAGAGAGAAAGGTCAGGTTACCCATGAAGGGAAGCCTATCAGACTCACAGCAGATCTCTCAGCAGAAACCCTACAAGCCAGAAGAGAGTGGGGGCCAATATTCAACATCCTTAAAGAAAAGAACTTTCAACCCAGAATTTTACATCCAGCCAAACTAAGCTTCATAAGCGAAGGAAAAATAAAATCTTTTGTGAACAAGCAAGCACTCAGAGATTTCATCACCACCAGGTCTGCTTTACAAGAGCTTCTGAAAGAACCACTACAAATAGAAAGGAACAACCAGTATCAGCCTTTCTAAAAAATACTAAAAAATAAAGAACATCTACATAATTAAGAACTTGCATCAACTAATGGGCAAAACAGCCAGCCAACATTAAATGGCAATATCAAACTCACATATATTATTATTAATTCTAAATTTAAATTGACTAAATCCCCCAATCTAAAGACACAGACAGGCAAAAAAAGCCAAGACCCATTGGTATGCCACATCCAGACCCATCTCACATGCAAGGATACACAAAGACTCAAAAAAAAGGGATGGAGAAAAATTTACCAACAAAATGGAGGGCAAAAATAAATAAATAAAAAGCAGGAGTTGCAATTTTTGCTGATAAAATAGACTTTAAAGCAACAAAGATCAAAAGAAGCAAAGAAGGATATTACATAATGATAAAAGGATCAATGTAACAAGAAGAGCTAAAGATCCTAAATATATACGCACCCAATACAGGAATACCCAGATATATAAGACTTATAAAGAGACTTAGACTCCCACACAATAATAGTGGGAGACTTCAGCATCAACATTAGACAGATCAATGAGACAGAAAGTTAACATCGATATCCAGGACTTGAACTCAGATCCAGAACAAGTAGACTTAATTAATATTTATAGAACTCTCCACTTTAAATACACAAAATATACACTCTTATCAGTACCATATCACACCTATTTACAGGTTTAAATGAAATATTGGTTGGCTGCTTGTTAGTTATTTTTTTCCCTCATTTTTCTTTTTTCATGTCTCTATTATTAAACACAATTACAGGCATACCCATTTTTAGACTGCATTCTAGCCCGGGCAATAAAGCAACACCACCGTTCTCTCTCCCTCTTCCTCTTCCTCTTTCTTCCTCTCCTTCTTTTTTTTTTTTTATTCTTTCTCTTTCTTTCTCTCTTTCTTCTTCTAAAAAAAAAAAAAGAAAGAGGAACTATTATTTCAAACCTCTAACAAAAAAAATAACAAAACATAAAAAAAGAAAGATATTTATAAGGTCATGGTTTGCCTCCCATTGGTCTAGCTGTATGTCTCACTGAAAAGGATATTCAGATAGATAGATTAAGGTTCTTCTGAAAAGAGTGCTTCATGCCCTCTCTACCAGAAATTCAAGGATATTATTAACATGGTTTGGATTTGTGTCGCCGCCCAAATCTCATGTGTAATTGGAATCCCCAATGTTGGAAGGGCTAGTGGGAGGTGATTGGATCATGGGGGCTGCTTCCCCTGCTGTTCTTGTGATCGTGAGTTCTCCCAATTTCCGGTTGTTTAAAAGCATGTAGCCCTTTCCACCTCACTCTTTTCCTCCTGCTCCAGCCATGAGGATGTGTTGGCTTCCCCTTCGCCTTCCACCGTGATTGTAATTTTCCTGAGGCATCCCAAGCCATGCAGAACCATGAGCCAATTAAACCTTTATTCTTTATAAATTACCTAGTCTCAGATATTTCTTTATAGCACTGTGAGAATTGACTAATACATTATATTTAGGGCTACATTGATTATATTGATATATATTGATTCTATTCAAGGACAGCCAGCCAAGAAGATGTCTGGTGTGGCAACCTGTAAGAAATGATAAAGTGTTCCTGGAAACATAATAAGATGAAGGCAATTATAGTTCCCTCCTGTACTATAGAGTTCAATCAGGGAAGCAAGACCATTATGAGCACTGTGGGGCACGTTATTTATTATGGAGTTAGACTTTCCACAATCTGGGAAAAAG